TTGCACCCTCCACTTTGCTGCAGGACACAAAAAAAAGTAATTTTGAAGCAGTGTTAATGTTAACTCATAGAAGAACGACGACACTATGAATGAACAATGAAGAAAATACAGCTAATRATAAAACAAACTTTCCATAAATGAGGTCCATCCAGTTGTTTCGATATACAACTGCATTTGTACTGACCAGTGACTACAGCTATCACTGCGCTRACACAATAGGGAAAAGAGTTAAAAGGAGACAAATTTCCTAGGAAACATGATCACTCCAGCTGACTCTGGACTCTCTTACTTCCAACCAGAGCTACTGAATGTATTACCCGATGTAATTTTGACTGTTCAAAAGATTATTCTGAAATTAAATTTATCTCTGCAAATGTACATGCTGAAGAAGACTGCATCGCAGATGGAAATAGTAGGTTGGGATTTCCCTGATGGAAGCAGAGCTAAGTCTTGCTGAGTCTTGATGCTTTACCAACCCGCTTGTTACTGCTTATTCTTCAGACCGTTTTCCCCATCAGTGATGGTCAGGTGAGATCTGCTTAGAGGGTTTATAAATCATCGTCCTTCTTCCTGCCCCTTCTTCTCAGTCRCAGAAGAATGTGTATGAATAACAAAGAATTTCAGTCTAAATTAAGCTCTCCTCTTTATAGGATATTTATAAGCTTGCCTAAATGTATTTCATTTGCAACTGGCTATCAACTGAAATTTGTAGGAATTATCAAATCCCCAGTGTCAGCAGTTTGTTGCTGTCTCTTTTTTTCGTGTAAAAAAAAAATTTATGGGTCCAATCCAAAGACCACATTAACCAATACGAGAATTCCTAACAGCCTAGTATATTTTATAAAATCTCATATGCCGTGGTATTTGGAAACTTTTTATCTAAGTAAATGCAATTGAAAGTTTACACTAAAGTTATGCTCTGAAAGCTGGATTATATAAAATAAGCTTGATCTCATAGGGGCTGCTGTAGATAATTGGTGAGGTTGGAAAAAACCTGAACAATGACAACAAAAATCCCACTGATATTAGTTAATGTGGTTACATTTCCATTTCTGCTTATGGCAGCAATTTTGGACTAAAATTTGCTACAATATCTACTTTTACTTAAAATCACAGCAATATAATGTATGCAGCCCAGGGTACCTGGACTGGAGGAGCTGCTGTGGGCAGGTYGTGATAATAGAATTCCCGTAGGACCTAGGATCATTGATTTCAGCGTGAGCCACAAGTCACAAGATCAACTTTAAAAAGCTCTGCCACTGGAAGAAAACGTTACYAATACCCCACGTGGGATCATTGGACTTTTTACTATAAATACACATTTTCTTGTGGTAATTTCCCATCCTATTCTGATTCATCCGCCACATTTCTTACCGGGAGACCAGAGTTCCGTGACTCAGGCAGGGTTTTCCACAGCAGCAGCTTCATCAGCTCCGGGTGACTCAGCGCAGCCCCTCACGTTCAGTGGTGCAGCAGGGGAAGAAGCCACTGACTTGCCACCTATCCGGGCAGTTAACGCTGCTGGTTACCAGGGCTGGAGAAGAGGTGGGAAATTCCTTTGACTTATTTTGCAATATTATTTTCTCCTTTCCTTGCTAAAGTTCTTTAGTGCCTGCCTATAAGCTACCTTCACGSATATTTATTAAAGGAATAAAAAGATCCACCCAGCCTGCCTAACGCTGGCATTTATGAACAGAGCGCTGTTACCGTGTTGAACAACAGAGCCTCATGCACACAACCGTGGCTCTGCTATCTCCATTTTAATTTTCTCTGTAGAAAACGGTTCCGTGCTGTAAAACCAGTTCTGAACATGATGTGATTAACCTTAGGGCCCCCATCCCCTCATCTCCAGGCCCACCTTGTGCCTGGCCTGTGCCTCCCGTTCATGTTCAGCCCGCTGATTTCCATATGCGCCCGCTCGCCCGYGCGCTGCCATTAGCATAACAGAGCTCGGCCTGACAGTGATTGAAGCCAGCGCCTGCTGAATGCGGTATCAAAGCATAATTTGCCAGGAATCAAATCTAATTTACTGTGTACTGTGTTTAAATTAAAAAAAGAAATGTTTCAATAGAAGCGCAGTAGGGCTGTAGTTTTAATTGTTCTTTTTTCATATTTTTGTCTAGACCCCTAGAATCCAAACAATACATTCCCTTTCAGAGCTACTGTCATTGACTTTCAAATGTCAATTAAACAAGAGTTTTTCCACTCTGTTTGTTCCAAGCCAGTCCATGTTACATCTGAAACAATGAAGGGTAGTCGTTTGATAGGCACAACACTTGGATTGGTCCTTCGTAACAGTTTTTTCAACATATATTTCTAATTTCCTTAATGTTTAGATTGAATTAAGCATCAAACTGGTGCATAACTTTTACAGCTGAAGTCTGCTATCATTTCTTTTTCCTCACCTTTTAAAAATATATTTTTTAATTACCTATTTTGAGAGACACAGCAATGATTGCATTAGGCTTTGCCCCGGCCCTGCTGATGTTGGGCTTTGAGCAAGTCACCAACCCCATGCCCTTCTTCCTTCTGTGGAGGTGCCTCAGAGCACCCACCATCTGCTTAACCTGTTCCCACTTCTCCAAGAAAGCTTTTGGCATTGATCCTTGAGGATCTCTGAGCTTTGGCACAGCCTAGGGGATAGAGGCCTCTTTTGGACACCGTGTTTTCTTGCCCCATCGTAGGGAGATGATGTTCTGGCAGCCAYCTGTCAAGCAGCGCATACGTAGGTCTCTCTTACCTAGTTGCTGTCAAATGCAGATATAATTCCTGAAGAGACTGGAGATTTCCTGTTCCCTCTCCTCTGCCTGCGGTTGCTATTGATTGTATATCAGTATCCTGCTCGGTGGACGTCTAAGCAGCAAGCACTGAACTAACTCAGTGGCTTTTATTAAGTGGGTGGTCAGGACTGCAGAGGGGCCTTCAGGTGAGACCTGCCCGTGGGAACGTTCATTTTCTAATCCACAGCTAAGGGACCCCCCTCTCTCCCTTCCTTTCTCTTCCCATGTAGTTGAATGAAGGAGCGTGTCCGTGGTGTTCGCATTGGTGCCGATGGGGGCTGCGCCTGGGTGTGCTAGGCAAAACAAGGCAAGGGAGGAATACATAGCAGGGCTGCAGTTCAGCCTTAGAGGAGTAATTTAGGCCGAGATCCCAGGATATATGGAGCAACACTTAGGCCCCTATAGAAGCCTCAGAATGGCTGCTTGCAAATGGTGTGGGAGCAGGAGCCCACGATCTGTGTCCCAAGACTTTCAGAAGATGAACATCTACTGAGGCACTGGGAAGAGGTAGAAACTTCTCTCTCCAAAAAGGCCAGATCCGTGCTCAGGAATACAGGGCAGAAAGAAGATTCTTTTCATTGTCTTCACCGTCTAAACAGCAGCTTGTCTTCCTGTTCAGATTCTTTATAATTCTCCACTTAGAGTGCATTATGTCAGGGCAATTCAGCTTGTGCTCTTCAGACTCCTGGTGGTCTGTAAAGCCTCAGGAAATGGCTGCAAAGTGTGTTTCAGAGCATCAAATCTGCATACATTTCTATGCAGTTGGCAGATCTGTGTCTGTGCCTGTCAGCAGGTGTAATCGGAAGCTGGGGCTTGATTGCTCTTCGTACCTAATTAAACAGTTTGTAATTATAATGGTGAAAATACAGTTTTCTAAAACACTTAAATTTTGTTTACCTGAAAGCTTAGTAGTTCTTAAACCAGCCCTCTCCCCAGCCACCACAATAGTGGAATAGAAGAAACTCAGTGAGCCAATGTGTCTTGTTCCTTCCTCAATCAGCTCTCAAAAATGAGTTGGTCTTTTGAAAAACAAAACAAACAGAAAAAGACATTTGGAAATACTGCTTACACTGGTAGGATATGCCACATATTATAAATATGTGAGGCAAGTTTGGAGGGTTTGCATGGCTTGCATGGAGAAGTCACTTGCTCTGTCGCGCCCTGCTCAATAGAACTCGAATGTCAGGTTTGTTTTTTTCTCTCTATAACCATCCRCTGTTACTCCTTCCCATTTCCTTCTGCATATTAATTCCCTTCCTGTCTTTTCCTGCTCCTATCCACTGGCTCCATTGACTGCCTGTTTTCCATCAACGCCCCCAGACAATCACAGCACACCTCTCTTTTTGAAACTGCTCAACTCTGCCTGTGCTTCCTGATCCCCTATACTTAGATACTGTTAACACTACCTGAAAACCTAGGCAGGCCTTGTTCTTCCCTCTGTTTTTAACTGTACTTTTCCCATTTTCCTTTCCTTTGTCTCTTCCTGATCTCCTGGAAATGCTGTTCCTCCCTATTCATTCCTCCCTGCTGCCCACTAACTCTTCAACTTGTGCTTCTTTCTGGTCTTCCAACAAACTCACATCTAGATAATCCTACATTGTGATGTTTTAGCAGCATCCTTTTCTCATCAAATCCTCTTTCTCCCTCCTTTCTTGCCCCCTTTGGACTCTTTCTTGCCCCTCACCCTGGACTCTGCCTTGAGCTTCTGTCCTTCGATTCACATATTTCACTGCTTTCTCACTCATTTTTGAAAGTTGAGAGGGACGGGCTGGAGAAGGAAGGCTGTGTGTTCTGATTCATGTAATGCAGCTAGCATGGGAGGCTGTGCCAGCTCCCTCCTAACCATAAGCTCTGTGAGTACCTGTCCTGCCTGGATGGCTCTTAAGGAGCAGTTAGCATTCAGCCAGAGCCTGCCTCATRCAGGCCTGACTGCTCTTCCCTCACATGTATTGTCACCCGAGCATATGCTCGTATATGTCTTTTATTTTTATTTTTTTCCAGCTGGGAAGATCATATATTGATATTGCTGCTTTTTTTTTGTTGTTGCTGTTGCTGTTGTTCTTGTTTATGTATTATTTCTGTCTGTCCTAATTAGCATATCTGGTGTTATGTCTTCTGGCATAAAATAAATCTACATGATGTTGTCTCATTCCTTCAGTATTCTTCATCTCCCGCTTGAAAAATACCCTAAATTTACACATGTTTTTTCTTACATTGTAGCTCCCCCACAGTTTGTGGTGAGACCACGAGACCAGATTGTAGCCCAGGGTCGAACTGTGACTTTTCCTTGTGAAACTAAAGGAAATCCCCAACCAGCTGTTTTTTGGCAAAAAGAAGGAAGCCAGGTAAGTTATAAGCATCCTAGTAGCCCTTCAAGACCTTCCAAAWAATTAATTGTGTTTAAATCTTTAGGGAAGTTATCTATATTACCTTTCAGATTTTTTTACATCTTTCTTGGAGATGTTGTCATTTAAATTGTCCTATCATACACCAATATTTTTGCTTTGTTTTTTTTTTCCCCCATTTTTAAATGTTAACACTGTGAAGAACTCAAAGGCCATTGAAGTTACTGTAACTTATGCTAGGTGCTGTATAAGTTTATAGACTTATGGGATATTTATAGRCCAATGGGATATTTCTCAAAGAAAGAGTTTTCTTTCTGGAGCACCCAAAAGCAGGTGGATGAAATGAGCTTGGAAAGGTATGGCTCAATTTTTAACTAATCAGAGCCAGTAATTACAATTCACAACCTGTCTAGACGTGATCAAAAGGTTTTACGTCTAGCAGACTGATTTGCATTGGTGCATTCTCGCAGTGCATACAAATATAGGTGTTGAAGGCACAGCTGGTTTCTTCTTACTCTCCACAGGCAGTCAGTTAGTTCGTGCAAGTGTGTCACATGTAGTGGGGAAAGTTGGGTGTCCGGTGGCAGAGCTTTCCCAGCTCCCTCSTGAAGCCTGACAAGGCTCTGTGTCTCTGCTCTCTGCCATAGTCTTTGGCCAAATGGGTCTTTTCAGAGCTCTGTGCTGCTTTGTCCTATTTGGTCATATGTGAGTGAAGCACTCTGCGCTGTGCTGCACAGTGCAGAGATGGTTTTTTATCTCATCTGGAGACCTTGGATGTACTAAGTTAAAAAGTGAGGCAAGAACTGAACCTCCAATCTCCCCTTTTGCCCCACTGGCTTGTGCTTCAGCTTGTCATCTGGTCAGGTCATGGGTTACAACTTGCCCACAGCAGCTGGATACAAATCCAGCTGGAAGCACTGGGAGCTTGATCCTGAACTCCAGCCTGCCTTAATGCACTCTTATGCACTCAGAACGAGCTGTCCTGAAGTCATTAGGGGCAAGAACAAAGGTTCAGTTGCAGACCAAGACTGACAGTGTTTTGTGCTCTGTTGCATTACCTCTTACAAAGATACAAGGCTATTACTGTAGGAGTTTAAGCTTAGTCTTTGATGTGTTTCTTTTAGCCTGTTATGCAGAGAACTTCCAATTCCATGCATCACAAACTGGAAAAGCCCAATATCGTGAGTCTGACTAAGGGAAAAATTGTTCCAAAGGGAGACTAGCATGTTGAATTTGGAATAGGAACTGGTGATGTGCTAGCAAACGTTTCAGAAATGCTCCTTGTAGAGGACTTCCATAGCACGGTAATGTTTATGTAAAGTGAGCTTATAGTGTCACACTTGAATCTAATAAAGTAGACATCCATCATGTTGTAATAAAGAGAAGGGCTTCTAATTAAAGTAGGACATCATTTGCAGGATTAAAGTCATTTAGCGTAATTGAAAAGTGTTAATACTCTATTTTATCCTCTTCCATTGGTATCACTTCAAGGGTAAAAGCATTTTAAGGTGAAAATGCATCTTGTGTCTTTAATTGAATGTTATTACCTACTGATTGTACCACGTTGATGCTGTTTAATTACAAACCTGGAAAATTAATTACCATATTGAGGACCAGATCCCTGAGGGTTAGAATGCTCTTTTTTGGCAAATAAATGCAACATAAAAATTGATACCTACATTGTTTATAATCAAACCTCGAAATGTGATTCAATGTGATTCATTATACCCACATGTTATTCTTAATTGAGTATCAGTGAAGCAACAGAGGTCAACGTTGCCATCCGCAATAAAAAACTTCCCAGATTTGGAATGGTTCCCCATCGAATGGCGAATTTCCACCTGGCACATTTCATCCTCGGGATCCAGGGGACAGTATTGTGGCTATGCTTACAGCATTGTCCCCTGAGCTTGAGGTGCATGCTATCTTTTTTATGCCTGGCCACAGGTTGTTGCGTGGACTCTCCTCTTCCTCTCGAGGAGGTGCCTCCGTTAGTGTTCAGGCAAATGCCACCTAGTCCTCTTAGCCCCTTGCAGGGCGTGTTTCATTCTGGGTCCATTTCTGCCCCCTGTGTTTCTCGGCACAAGCAGCTGGAAGGGAGGGAAACAGTTGCCCCCTGAGTCATCCTTGTGTCGACTTGGACATAAGCAGCAGGTCCCTTGTGTTTGGTGGCCCTTTTCCCACGGCGCTGGCAGCCGCACACCCCAGAAACCCCCCAGAGCACAAGGGACGGAAACGAGAAACGCTCCGGGTTGCATTTACCTTCCCCGAGGTAMATCTAGAAGAAAGCCCTGTCGTGCCGGGGCACCTCTGCTTGCAGCCCAGCCTGCCACCATCGTGCCTGCAGGAGCAAACCAGTGCAGTTGTAAGGACCTTAGGAGAGAAGGTTCTGCTGCTGGAACAAGTCACAGCTCACAATTAGCTGGTCCTTGAGAGAGGGAGGCCGGAGACCCATCGGCTCCTACCGAGTGTGGGAAGGTGAYACTAGTGCTCCTTAAGATCAGACTGGCCCATGCTGAAGATTAAAACCAGGATAGATTCTTCTTTTTAATACAGAAGTTAGTAGGATCRCTGCCTTTTCCTTCTGAAAAATCAGAGATGTGTTCCTGAACTGTCTTCTACATTGTGTTGCCTTTTACCATTTCCATAATGAGTGATGAATGGAGTATTCCTTGTCAAAATTCTCTGCTTTCTCATAAAATTTAAGTTTTCAGAATTCCTTCATTCATTAGGTATTTCCCCAGGCAGATGTTTTTAACAAGTTTCAAGGCAATTCAGAAGGCAGAGYAATTTTGGGGAGAGACCCACTTAGCACTAGAGCCTGAAAATGTTTCAGGACTTGTCCACTTCTGTATTGAAGCTGACATATTTCCTGAGTGCATATTGATTTTTGAGGAAGAGACTCACCCTAGAGTAACAATTAGCCTCACAGGTTAATGCAATTATGAGAAAACTTGGAGTCTTTCTGACCTAAAGCATCTCTCTCACATACTTTTTTTTTCTCCCCAAAAATGAGGAGTCAAAGGTATCATTTTCACCTCAAAGTGGCATTTTTGACATACAAGCATGCTGGTTACCAATCCCAAACATTTTCTCTAAATGCAGAAATATAGATGCTGTATTTGTTTTTTCTCAAAATTTTCTATCCCTCTCCAAAGGGCTGCAGTAAAGACTGAAAGCTTATCCTAGCATGAGATCAGTGCTTGGAGATATTCTGGTTACAAACAATTGTGTTTTTACAGGAGCTTGTTCAATCAACAGTACACTTAAGCTGGACCCTATTTTCCTGGAATTTACCAATTCAGTACTATCCTTTAAGCTGTCTTCCCTGTTCCCCTTTCTGCCCCCTCAGGCAACCCTACCAGCCTCTCTGCACACACTGCCTCCCTCTTCCTCATCTTTTTCACATCAAGGGCTTTGCCAGGTGGTATAACTTTCCCCTTTGAAGTACAGCCCTCCCCACCTCTCAAACCTGGCCAGTCCCAGCCTATATTCCTGATCCTTTCAGGCCTCGGTCATGTTCGATGGCTACTGCATCCACTCCAGTTCTTCTTATTGATATCTTTGTTTTCCCCGGTGCAGCCCAAAGGCAAAAGCTAATCTGCCTGTTCTGTGCTAACTGGGATGCCTTACCCAACACAAAATTATTTTTCTCTCTGGTGATTTCCACGTCAGATTTATACCCCTTYTCTTCCCCTCAAGGCTCCATCCTGCTTTTCTCATTTGGTGTATCTCAGTTTTAATTTCCTGCTACTCCTCCTATAAGCTCTCATGTTCTGCCAACTTCGCCTGCTTTATGACCTGTTTGTGTCATCCTCCTAGGTTTGCTCCCATGCCTTGCACGTTTCCTTTCTTTATTTCACCCAGGATCGTATTCACTGTCAAACAACAGCCCTCAAGTCTCCAGAATTCAATTCTTCCCGCTAGTTGTCCAATGTTGGCTTTGTTATTAGATACTCCTGGTTTGACAGCCAACTAAGTATATTATTAAATTCAGAGTGAAGATGAATGTGAAATATATACAGATCACTCAAGTGTGATTGTTGGAGAATTCCTCCCTGCATAAACTGCCCAGCCAGCACGCAGCCTTGTCTGCTGACAGTGCTGCTGGTGATTGAAACAGCAAGTGGCTCCAGGAAAGAAAGAAAAATTTAGATGTTCATAAATTCATAAACCCACTTGCATTTTAACTTAAATATGAGMGTTTTAAACTTTTAAAGAAAAATCATTGTATCTTTAGCGGCGGGAAGGGCGGTTTCTGTTCCGCACTGACGTGAGYTCAATTGTCTCTGCAGAATCTGCTCTTCCCAAACCAGCCCCTCCAGCCCAGCAGCAGGTACTCRGTGTCGCCAACAGGAGACCTCACCATTGCCAACATTCAGCGGTCCGATGCCGGCTACTACATTTGCCAAGCACTGACGGTTGCTGGCAGCATTTTAGCGAAGGCTCAGCTGGAGGTGACTGATGGTGAGATATGGAAATTTCTATTGTTTTGGTTTTTTCCTGTCTATTGTTTTGTTTTTTCCTGTCAAAAGCRAAATGGTTTGAAAGTATTGCTAATATAGGCATGTGAGATGATGTAATTCGTACAGGTAAACACACAGGTTTCTACAGATAATGCAATGAAAATGGTTCTCATTACACAGTTCTCTGTGGTAAGAAAGAGGCATCAAATTGGAAATTCCCTTTTGCATTCCATCTGGAAGCTCCTTAATAATCCAGATGAGGGACAAACCCTCTTAGAATAGGCTTGGTGAGAAAGAAAGATGCTCAGTTCACTAGAGCGAAGACAGCGCTGCAAAAACATATTGTGGGGAATGAATAGTTTTGTGATTAAAACAATGAAATGGGGTGCAGCAGAACGAGGCTCAATTCCCATCTCCACTCCAGTCATCAGTTTTACCGTCGGCAGCTAATCTGGGATGTGTCCTTGGTTTGAAGAAATCAGCACAGTTCCCTTGAACTCACCCGAGTTTTGTTAATTTAGAACAGCTACGATATGTAGCCCTTTACTCCCCGGGTGAATAAGTCACAAGGATTTTTTCCTGCCTCAAAGGTGTTCTTTTTAAGAATTTCTTAATAASCTTAGGTGTGAGAAGAACCCTGCAAATACATAGGTAGAAAAGAGTTGACAGGAGAGGAAGGGAAAAGAACAGCACTGCATGATCCGAATCGATGCTTTCCATTTCAGAGTTTTGGTTTTGAAAAYTATTATGCCTTCATGCCTACCTTACTCCATATTATAAACATGAAGCCTCTTCCCATTTCAGGAATCTTTTTGATATCCCATTTCCATCACATCTGTGACAGAAGAGGTTTACATCCTCTAGTATTAGTAAAGAAAATCACAGTTTCTTTTATACTTGGAGATCATGGCATTCCCAGGCATCATTATTCCCTATCTTAACTGACTCATTAAATATCTCTTGACAGACTTTGATGAATTTTCACCATTAAAACTGTTGTTATATGCAGAGGTCTACTATTACCGTTCCCTTAGAGACCTGCCTGCACCATGAAAGTTTGAAAAGATGTCTAATTCTGAATAATCTGGCTTTTCACAAGAGCATATTCATCACAAGTGACAGGTAGAGAGGTTCAGGCACATGTTATAGAGGTTTGAGCATTAATTKGATGCCTTTTCTTTGTTTTCTAAAAGCTGTCTATATTTTTATGACAAGGGGAGATAATTTCTGCCTTATCCTTGCATCTTTACAAGCCCACTGCATTTCCAYAGAGTAGTTTTTAGGAGATGAAAGGCTAACCTTCTTTCTGCCATTACTTTAAGCCTTCCTTTTTTCTCTCTGTGACAAAATGATGCATTTTCCTTCCATTCAAATTTGAATGCAGATTAAAAGGTCGTTTAAAATTAATGGAAAGGCAGTATTTTTTAATATCTGTCCACAGCACTGCCTGATGCAGTGCAGGGATGGTGACTGGGATAAACAGGACACACAAATACTGGTCGAGAGGACGCTGAGCTGTTCAGGGCTGCAGCCGCGRCTGCCGTGCGGATTGACTGCGGCAGGGCCAACTGGAGCCAATCGGCCTCAGGGATATCAGGGAAGAGGAATTTTTCCTCGTCATGGACAAGGTCTGGGGTCCACATCCATTTGTAAGTGTGGAAGAAAAATAAACAAATATATATACAGATACATAAATATATATAGTTGATTTCTTCAGAAACGTCAGCAGTTTATTTCCCAAGGCAGCAGCAGCAAGCTCCTAAAGGCTTCCCTGCTAAAATGCAAGCTCAGCAACGACTGCTTCTGCTGAAAGGCTCYGTGTGTTGTGCCTTCCTAAAGAAGGCCTTTTAGCTGGTGGTGCTCCTGCTCAGGGAGCGCAAGGGCTGCATTCCCGAGACGCTTCCCTGAGCCGGCTGTCAGCGGGATCACCGGCGCTGGGGAATTAGGCAAGGCTGCTTTGTAGAAAGGGCATTTCAGCCTTGAGTCAGAGGGCAGGTGAGGTCGAAAGGGAAGTGCCAAACAATATGGTGGGGCTGGCCGGGGGATTATGCACATAAAAATGCCATCGGATCGCAGGTGTTTTTTAATGGCTTTCAGTTAGGAAGCTGACCATAAATATCTAAAGAATCTGTTTTGGTCGATGCTGAGCAGAAATTACAGAAGCTAATGATTTTTATCAGCAGGGAAATGTAATCTCATGGTTTTAAAAATTTAGTAAGAGATAAATGCTGCACATGCTGGCCATGTACTTTAGCATCAGTATTCTAGTTTTTGGCTGGTGATTTCAGTTTTACTTCGTAGCCCAGAATTTTTCTGTTTGGTTAATGATTTAATAATAGTGGCGAGCCATCTTTTTCATTTCGAACACATTTTTGTTTGATCCAGAGTAATTTAAATCCAATTGAAGTTCCAATACAGAATGAAAACATATGTCATGGGCGGAAAAACAAGTGCTTAATTATACCATGTATAGCAGGGTTTCAGTTGTTACATTTTTGCACTTACAAGTCTTTACTGGAAATATTTTTAACTCGAGTGCTCACATGAGAAGAGATTACTAGCTGTGATGATATGTGCTGAGTTGAGTGATAATTTTGCTGATTATGGACTCTACTAAGAGCCCTCAGTGAATTTGAAATTCAAATCTTGTATTTTCCTTAAAGACTATGAGATAATCCACAGTCTAGTGCACATCTGGAAAACCAAAATCATTTTAAAAATTGAGACAATCTTAGCAATTCTTTCAAAAGCAAAAGTAAATATGCAGCTCACAGTTCTTAAATGACAGGTCATGCAAATATCCTCAAGAACTCCATCTAATTGTGCCTGTGTGCATGGCAAAAAATAATAATTACTATTCACTATAAAACTATAATAATTTACTATTAGTAATTTATTCAGTAAATTTATCCACCATCCCCAGAGTWTTCTGTAGAAGATCTCAGTTTCTCCTTAGTATGTCTTTGCCTATATCTGTTATTGAAAATTTTGGCCACTGCATGCTTAGCTCAGCCTGCTTTGGTTGCTCTTCCCAACAGTTGCTATTTAAGGCCTGYGTTTGGACTGAAGAGCAAACTCTACCCCACAAGGACTTTTATATCAATATTAAAAGGACACATTTTGGAATATTCACTTCATAAAAAAGCTCATGTTCCTGGGCTTTATGAAAGCTAAAGCCTGGGCCTCTAAAGAGAATTCAAAAGAAATGGCAAACATAAAAGWCACACCTCAACACCTCAACAGCTCTCCCTACACTGAGATCCTTTTCCCAGGCTCCTGTGCAATTGTTGCCTATGGGTCTGTAGAATATGCTGAGGTATCTCTCTTTCAAATCCTCCTGCAGTGATGCTACATTTAGAATAAAATATTTATGGCGTATCACCAGAAGGGGTAAACAAGAGAGAGAAAAAGAAGGGCAAATGAGCTATTAAATATTGTTGATGAATAAATATTGTTTGACAGTATTGTTGACAATTTGGCCACCTTATTTCCTATCCAAGATCAATGCATATTCAGTATTTTGGAAAGCGTCATGGTTTCAAACAGGAGAGAGAGAGATTCAAAATAACTCCACAGCTTCCTAACATTCAGGAGGCAGCTCAGACATCTACTGCAGAAGATGCAGCGAGAGGGCTGAGCCCTGCTTTTGTCACCTCGCAGAGGAGAATYCTAGCTTGTCGTCCAGGTGGTCACCAAGTTGTGTCTCGTCTTCCCCGTTAAACTGCCAGGAAAACTTCCAAAATAATGATTTTTTGGCAGTGCCAAAATAAAGTTAAGACTTAATTTTGCTATTCTCTATTTGTTTTTTATTTCATATTGCCTATTGATCAAATTCTACCCAAATTTAAAGATGRTTTCAGTAAGCCCAAATTGCATTTGTGGCAAATAAAATGTTCATTAATGAAGATAATTTATTCCCCAGTTACACTCTGTTCAATCGTTCAGATGCATTTTCTTAAAAAAAGCATGCGATAATAATTCAGTTATCAGAACGTGTAAATATATTGTTGCTTGCACATAGGTCCAAAGTTAGTTTTTGGTGCGAAACTCATTTTATAATCGACTTTTCTTTAACTAATCAAATATAATTTGGTCACATAAAATGCCCCTTTAGCATAAATACAGAAGATTTTGTGCTAAGATAAAGCAATGTAAAATTCAAATGAAAAAAAAACTAAAACATTGTAAAAGAAATTAAAACTGCCCCCAACTTTTTTGTGGATATTTTTCCTTATTGCATTMTGGCTTGTGCCGTACATACGTATTTGTGAAGCTCTGGTCAAGTTTTGGTTGCTTAATCCTGATGGGGCCTATACAGCAGGCGCTCAAGAGAATATGCGCCCGTTTTGGAGAAGATTTACAAGTCCTGGCTGTGAACACAGTGCGGTCGTTCACAGATCACTGGAAACCCTAAGTGTTCATTTAACCTTTAGCCTTAGTGTCATGGAAACCTGTAGTGGTCTTTCACCCATAACACCCTCGAAAATGAAGATTCCTTCTGGCCAGGAGACTTTCAATTACTTTATCGATCAAAGCTATTTAGAGGATTATGAGCTCCTCATTGGGGCTTTAAAAAAACTAATTAGATGCCAAAGGACAATATCTGTGGTGCAGGAGGCTTTAAGAATACCTGCACTGCTACACATATAAAAGACAATTAGTTGCATCAAGTAACTACAATGAAATAGCTGGAAACCTAAGCTGCTGGAAGCTAATCCTTTTTTTCTTAATTCATATTTAGCTGGGTAAGTGAGAGTTCCTGCTCTACACTAAATCTAAATGAAAACGAAAGAAAACAAAGCYAAATTTTCACTTCAGTACACCCTTGCTACAGGTAGGCTGATGGTTTGTGTGAGCTGAGCTACCACCAAATGACTGAACTGTGTAGTCAAAGGAAGCTTAGTGAGATCAAGGTTTTTGTATCAAGGTGAAAATGCATTACATTTTGTGTTTTCTTGTAATATCATATTTTCTGTCTTGTCTCTGAGTTCAGTGTGTGCTATTTCAGAATTTCCCAAATAGCATTCATTTTCTGAGTGAATGTAGATTTACTTTCCATTTTTAGTTTTCAGTTCCAACAAATTCGATGAACTAACATTGCAACGTGCTGCTAATGCTGATGATTCTGTCCTCTTATCTTGTAAAGAAAGGAAATTAGTATCTTTGTGACATCAGAATTTCAGTAACTATAATTTGTAATTGTGCATATAAATAGAAGATGTGTTATTAGCGTATCCTTAGTGCTTGCTATTTATTGAATAGCGTATTGAAAATACTTTGGATCMATTGAAAGTTTCAGAGGGTCACTTTTTAAGCAGCTCAAGCCAAAAAGAAACCACATTGCTTCAGAATAATTTATTTTGACTTCACTGTTAGAATCAGGTATTCTTTCTGGACTACAATGAACCATATTTTCAGCTGGAATGAATTATTAGAATACAGTTGCTGTTCAGGAAAGCAGGCTGAACACTATCTGAGAAGCTTATCCTGGCAGGTAAAATATTTAGTGTCAGGTGGAGAATTATTCAGTTGTTCAAAGATTTAAAGCAGTAGCAAYGAGGAGAGTAAATATAAGAAATGAAAAGGCTTTTTCAGTTTTGTTAGCCTGTTTTTATGAAGGAGTCATAGCCTTGTTTGAATATTTCGGACTCGTTTTGTATAAACAAATTCTTTAGGAACAAAGAGATCTATTTTTGCTGCTTGCTAGATGGCACTAAGAATAGGTTCAACAGCAGAATTATTTATGAAAAAAATGTTCTTGCAAGAAAAGTGAACATGAGCACTTTACCTCATCTTCAAGACATGCCACTGGTCATGGAATGAGGCTTACAGGCAGCCATGCCCTCAGTGGCTACAGAATCCGTTAGGGGCTGTTTCAAGCATGCAAATGCAAAGGATCATGAAAAAAACCACAGAGTTCGGGAGTTTAAAAGGTGAGGAAATGATTTGGTAAGTAAGCTGGTCGAGCATGTGGTGGAGTTTGAACTCGCTGCTGCAGGAGAGAGTGGTATGGCCTTTTAGATCACTCAGAATTACAAAAATGTCTTCTTGTTAGATATTTTTGTTGATGAGTACCTGCAAATTGAGTGGATGGGGAACATGGGAATTGTTACCCATGCTAAAACAGCTACAGTATTTCACTTTGAACTTTTACAGAMTTTCTCTTTCAGGCCCTGAAACAGGTAAGCAATTAAACATATTTTAATTTAACACTTGAGTATGTGCTTTAAATGCATTCCTGAAGTGGAATAAATAAATAAATACAAAGTGTATTTATCGCAGCTTTTTTTTGGAATCTAGGTTTTAAGTTTTTGTTTTATCTTAATCAAATTAGTCTGAAGATCCTTAATAAAAGACATTTTTCTAGCTAGCTGTTACCTTGCTGTGATGAAGCAAAATACTGATAAAAACACTTTTCAACTTGACCGGGTAATTGCTTCGAGGTGCATGTGCATCTTGCAAAAACAGTGTTTTTAGCTTTTATAACGAATGTAAACGAGTCTGTTGCCCTGTCAAAGGGCTAACTAGAGCAGAAGGCTTCCAAAGGTGTCGCTGCCAATACTTGTTGTGTTACCCCTCAGTTTTGACAGACAGGCCTCCACCCATCATCCTCCAGGGACCTGTCAATCAGACGCTGGCAGTGGACGGGACAGCTCTGCTCAAGTGCAAGGCCACTGGCGACCCGCTTCCTGTCATTAGCTGGTTAAAAGAAGGATTCACCTTCCTGGGCAGAGATCCCAGAACATCCATACAGGATCAGGGGACCCTTCAGATTAAAACCCTGCGGGTAAGTAACATAAGTAAGTGACATAAGTGACATAAAGCAACTGCTACGCGTAGGAGATGGCTGGTATCTCCTGTCTGCCTGTCCATTGCCTTCAAAATGAATGGAGTGTGCTCTTTCACCCTTAAAGTTTCATCAAGGCCACATGCTATTTCATTTTTGACAGCATTCCTGTAGAAAAAAATGGGGAAAACGGGGGAAAAAAAAAAAAAGGATAGAGCACTTCCAAGGAGGTGGTGGGTTAAAAACAAATTCTGGAGTTCACTGGTGCTTTGGCCATGCACCTTCTCCATCAGTGCAGTGAGTCAGGGCAGTCTTCTGATGGCTGATCTATTCCTACGGTRCTTCCTGGAGATGTTTCCCAAGGCAGGCAAATGAAAGGATACCAGTACCATAATATACGTGCAATTGTATGCAGAGGGATTTCTGTTCAAAAGGCAGTGCCTGCCATATTTTTCACATTTCGTAATTTGAGATAATGCCACGATTCTTTAAAGTACAAAGAAATCTTGTAAAATTTTAGATAACATAATGCTGGACTTTTCTGGTAAACATTGTATCACAGATATCACTCTTTGGGTTTTTTTTTTTTTTTTTACCTATTTAGAGATAGAAATGGATATGTGTGTATCCATATCTAATCCATATGTGCATATCTAGTCTTCCTTGTGTGAGTGAGAATGCATATGAAATAATAATAAGGTACATGTAATTAGYTAATTTGTTAAAAATAGAGGCAATTTAAGCATTTATTTAATTTTATCAGTAGTAATTTCTGCACTAGCTTTGTCATCCAAAAAAGTCAATACATAGATATAGAGAACAAGGCATTAATAGTAATCTTGTTTTCTGATACCATCACATCAGCGATCGTAAATGAATTGTTAACTTCCTTGGAACCAAATGGAATTTATTAAAAAATTTATGCTAGCTTTCCCTGAGTAAACAATTTACCCTTCCTCCCTGGGCTGAAGGCAGGTTTAGGCCATGAAGGTTAATGCATTTCTCCTGTAGAGCTGGATTAAAGAGTGCGCTTGAATAGTCAAGATTCCCCAGTAGTGTCAGCCAGCAGCAATTAAAGGGGGAAGCTTAGTGATTTCCAACAGACTTTCAGGCATCAGCGACGGGCTTCTGTGGAGGGTCCACGAGGCAAAAGCTCCCGGGATACCTGTCTGCAGGCAGCAATGCAAACAGTAAAGCAGGCTCTGGTCTGTGCCCGCGCATTAATCTCTCTGTTAGAGGCACAGGGTCTGTAAACCAAAAWGGAAAAAAATTGCTTGTGAGGGGAGGAGAAAACAGTGGCACTGGTAAGCGTGCTTTTGGAAGACATGGAGCTTTTATTGATCCTTAAGTGGCTCATTCACTAGTAACCGATTTTCCTTAAAGGCTTGTAAGGATATTTCTTATATATCCCTCTGATTGCAGTAATATGCCCTGGTAGACTCAGACTCACCAATAAAAAATGAACCGCACCGTGGAAAGAAGCAGATTTTTCTGCTTTTGAAATTTGGAGGAATTAAATATATATTTAAATCTGGTCTGGAATGATTAGCTCTTCTTCAGATGTACTCCAGTGAGAACTGTCAACACTTCCTTCGCAAAAAAAAATGATCAGAAAATATGCCCAMGCCTAACATTACATATATACTAAAGTTTAAAACAGGTTTTTCTTTAACACCCCAACTCCTCAGCCTTCTTCTCCTGTTGCAGTTTTTAATCTCTGTTATAATCATAAAAGATTTCAAGATACAGGTAAGCATGGGCCACCACTATCTAAGGCCCTGAGCCCAAGTGCCTGTGCTATCCAACCAGTCCCTCTTTCTGAGTGTAAATCAAATTATTTAGGAGTCTGAAATGGTCACAGAGAACCCTGGGCAACAGTCCTGAACATGAACCTAGAGATTTTTCATATGAGCCAATCTTCCAGATTGCTCCGAGGAAGAGAGCTAATATCTCCCATATGTCACTCCTTCAYCGGTGCTTTTTAGATAGATCAACAATGAGAAAAAACCTTCATGCTGCTCTCYAGAACTGTACCACACCAGATTTCAATACTTGCACTAACTATGGCAGGAAAAGGTTTATGATACTGAATAGCAAAGATTTCTATTAATCCCCTCAGATTTTCTTTTTTTTTTTTTCATGGCACAAAAAAGTATACATAGCTGAATTACCACTACRCCCTGTTTGTGGCTAGTCCATCCATAGTTTGCTAATTCACCATGACTTGCAAGRTGCAGCATCTGGCTTAGTTTACATGATGAGTTTGCCTGCTGGACGTCACTGACATTGTTTACTGCAGCTTTGAGGAATATGTTCCCTCATCACATAATGAGGAATTAAATATTTTTAATAAAAGCTCAGAAGTAGCAGAATAAAATATCTTCAGAGGGCTATAAGGCCCCCTCCTCGTCTTCCGCCTTTCAAGAGTCTTTCCCATTTCATTAGTGGTATCTCTATATTTTGAACGTCAGAGCCTGTGCCAGAAGAGTTTAATATTCCTTGCAGTTCATGGTAAATGCTTAGCCTAGAAGGCAGGTTTGTACAATTACACTGGCATTAATCAATTGCTTCCTGCCCCTAGGAATCCTACCGCAGCCCTACCGTAGCTGAAGCAGAAAATACCAACAAATTTAAAACATGACAAAGTTAAAAATCAATTAAATTATATATCAAGAAGCATCTTAAAGAGCATCTCTCTTATTTGCCTTGACATTCTTCTTGAAGAGTCAGGTATAAGCACATTCATTACGGTTCCAACCTGCATTTAGCAGAACACCCATTACAATCCCTTAAAGTCCAATAAGGCTTCTTGGATGCAGTCCTATTTCCATCAAGCCGTCTGATTGCAGATATAATTCTTCTCCTTTACCACAGGAGTCAGCACTCTCCCCCTTCTTATTACGTCTCCAGATTACCATGCTTTATACRTAGTCGTTGGGGGATTTCTTTGTGTTTCATAAAGTTACTGTTTTCTATCCATCTCAGTAGTCTTTGCCAAAAACTCTGCTCCTGTCACAGAAGTCTTTACTGTAAAGTGAAGTGAGGAAGAGTAAAACGCTTGTTAAATCTGCTAGTGCAGCAACGGTTTATACAGAAATGCGATTAATATTGGCAATATAATCCAAACCATTTCCCCAAATAAATCTGCAATATATGAATTGACAATTCAAGGACGGCAGCAGTTTTATACAAATCCCGCTGTTTTGCCCTCAAAGTGCCTTGCAAAACTGAAAGAAAATCACATGCAAGGATGATAGGTAGAGTGCTCACAGAATTCTATATGAAACAGAAGAAAGGGAAACTTTATGCCAGGTCTGATGCAGCTTTGCCATTGTAAAAGTGACTTGCGAGACTGCAGAGCAGGAACCACTGTAGTCTCAGCAACAGCATTTGTGTGAGGTGGCCTCCATAGAACTGACTTGGTCTGTCATAAGAGGATAAGATGATGGAACAACCTTCATGAGGCTGGAAATCGTATCTCTGGCTGGTCATGGGATTTTGAACTGTGAGACCTTATCCCCTGAGAATTATTGTTATTATATCAGTACCAGATTTCACCAGGATTTCTTGTAACCTGTAGAAAGATTGACAGTGTTTCAGATCTCCATTTGGTAACACTTACCGGCTCTGCTGGTGCCATTAACAGTACAAAAATCAGAATTAGAAGAGGGAAACCCTCAGAAGCAGATAATCTTATTATAGTTGCCTACAAGTAAACCACCATTAAATGATTATTTGAAAATGTCTGGCACTCTTTAGTCTGGTATAAAATGTARGCTAAGTCCTTCTTAGCAAGTTGCATTTAGGAAAAAAAATAATAGAACAAACCCTGTCAACTCATTCTAAATGTCATTAAAACTGCCCTTAACTGTTTTTTAATATCTAGCTGTCTGATACTGGAACTTACACATGTGTTGCTACAAGCTCAAGCGGGGAGACGTCTTGGAGTGCTGTGCTGGAGGTGACAGGTAAGCAGCACCTGGTGAAATTGTCGGCTGCAGAGGAGCCATCTGGGACTGYGATGGGGCCCGTTTTAGGTGGGCCTGCTTCACGTGCTGGGATCCCACCGTCGGTATCTGTGAGTGCCCATCAAGCCTGTAGCTGCTCGTACTTGCCCTTGGCAACGCTGGCGCCCTATAACTCCCCTAAGTGGGACAATTAAGGAACTGGGTGCTCATCCTGTAACTGTCCCAGAGCAGAAAAACTGGGATGGGAGAGACCCATCAAAGTCCAGCATACTCCCCATGAGTGCCCAAACTGTCTGGATGCAGGAACTTGCTCTGCCTCCTGGGAGGCAAGGTTTGGATATTTGGTATTTACATAGATTTAAGTATATATATACATATATATTTACGCAGATTTCAGCAGACAATGATAGAATTTTTATTACTGTATTTTTCTTATCCTTTTTTAGTTTAATCTTTTTTCCATTTAATTTTTTTTTTACTTTAAGTGTTGTGGGCATTTTTTTTCAGGATGCACAAAAGAGTTGCAGCTCTTCATCCTAAAACACGGCTGGTAATGAAATTGCTGACTTAGTTCTTTACCCATTGAGAACATTGCTTATGCTCACTTTGCAGATGTTTGTCATGTTTTTACCTTTTTTTTCTTGTAGTCTGATTAGACTTATAAAATCAAGATAAAAAATAATTATTTTATATTTTATTTTTTTTTATGTTTGCCCCCTACAGAGTCTGGTGGAGCGACTGTCAGCAAAAATTATGACATAAATGACCTCCCCGGGCCACCATCCAAACCTCAGGTCACTGATGTGACTAAGAACAGTGTCACCCTGTCCTGGCAACCCGGCACCCCTGGAAGCCTGCCAGCTAGTGCTTATATCATCGAGGCCTTTAGGTACGTGAATTATTGTGCTGCAAATCTCCCTGCTTTCTCATTTTGTTCTTTATACTGGTATCTGCTGTCCTCCTGGTGTCACGGTGGTTTTTTAGGCCATACGGATGTCTCACAGGCACATTAAAAACTTAACTTCTGTGGCAGGACATTGATTTTTATTCTTAACTTTTTTTTTTTTTTTAATTATTTGTTTCTAAGTGGAAAGTTTAGACAAGAACCTACCTATTATTTGTCAGGTCAACAGGAACATAACAGGACAGTGCACTCATTATTTGCTGCTTTTTCCTTATTCCTGATGATCAGTGAGGGTCTCCACTGGGAATGCTGCAGTTCTAACAACTGGGGCCAGTGTTACTTTGCTTAGTCTAGTGCAAAGCAAGCTAAACATGCATGGGCAATCCTTAAGCCTCTCTGCATGCTTGCATTCCCAGACTTGTTAAAGCCATGCCTATTAGAGGGCTAAAACATTTGTTTGTCTCCTACTGTTTTGGATGGAGCAAAACTTTTAACAGAGTAAGCTAGTGTTGATAACTTAGTATTTAAACCTCCACACCGAGGCTGATAAGAGTCCAGCTGATCCATCCCACCCTGCAGCAGTTAATATGCATTGGGAAAGAACTTTTTGTGCCCCCCATTCAGCCTGTTTAAGCCTATTTAATATGCACCTCTGGCACATATTCATCATATGCTCTTACGGTTAAAGATGTATACAGTCTTAAATGTAATCTCCTGATCAATATTTTCAACAAATGACAAATAATAGAATGTAGTTTTTCTTCTAATTAGAAATCAAGTGAGAATTTATAGAAACCACATGTATGTAAATTTATAAACCTCTAGTGATGACACTTCATCCTTCTGTGTTAATATGCAGGGAACATTACTGTACTGCCAGATTAGTAGCTTTGTTCTAGAACTTGTGCTCTCCTTTATGTATTACATGAATGAAAGCATCGAAAAAAATGTTAGAAAGCTATTAGCTTTCTATTTTCTCAGTTAATACAAGTAAAGATTTTTTTATAAATGCTATTCAGTAAGTCACAATGAAATCAAATTTTCTCCTTAACCTTTTGTGATATGTGACCTTAGATGAACTTCAGTGACATCCCATCAATGCCTTTAACAAAAGCCAAACATTTCATTTAAAAGCTATCTTGGCAATCTGAGTTGAACTCTCTTTGTACAGTGGCTAGTTAATCTCATTATAAAACTGTCCAAATTAATGTTTAGCCACAGAAAAATATTTATATGCTTTCATTTATAATCATGTTTTCAGAAGGTTCTTTTCTAGTTTTGAGTACGGTTTTGCTTCAAGGAGAATACTCTTCCTCCAACAAAACAATTTACAGAACAATACAGAAGATTATTCTTTTAATGGGTTAATTTATTTCAAAGATTTATATTCAGGAATGGCCAGATTATCATTCAATTTTATTTTCATGCTTTCCACACTTTTTCCTTTTGTAGGCATTTATTTTAGTGGGATACAATTTATTGGCAAAAGTTTTTGCTTCTCCTCAAAGCAGAAATACTTTTGACCTCTCTGTTCTTTTCTCCTTCCCCTTTGATGAACTAATTGACACTAACAAAACCTTTTAGTTTCATCCTGCTTTTCTTACTTTTCCTTATAGTTAGTCAGAAAAAGGCTTGCAGCAGTAGACCCTTCTTCACTTTGCTGTTTCTTTCTGCGCTGGTGTAATCCTCAACTCTTCTCCTTGCAGTCAGTCTGTGAGCAACAGCTGGCAAACRGTGGCTAACCACGTCAAGACCACGCTCTACACGGTGAGAGGCCTGCGCCCCAACACCATCTACCTGTTCATGGTGAGAGCCATCAACTCCCAGGGTCTGAGTGACCCCAGCCCTATGTCGGATCCTGTCCGAACACAAGGTAACGTTACTAAGACTTAYGTGCTGGAGCTACAATCAGAAGGGAGGCACTGGGAGTTGAGCAGTGGATCCGACTGCCCGTTTTGCTTTAGCACCGTGAGGGAAGAAAACAKGATACCTGGGCTGGAAGAATCCATCTTAACCACTAAAAATAAAAATAGCCCAATGATTGCTCCCTTCTCTGGAGCTTCGAGAAGAGAGATTACTTCTTTAATGCCTTGGTACATCCTAGGCATTCCAGCTGACCGTTTTCAAGGCATTTGAAATCGATGTGCTCCTTGCCACCCAATTTCTGTTAAAATAATGGGAGGTAGGCACCCAGACTTTTCTAAAAGATGCTGTGAATACCAAGCTCTCTTATGTCCTCAGAATCTTTACTAGTCGTTAAGTTCTCCCTATGTCCTTAGTTCTCCATTGTTTATAACAGTGATATGCTATCACAGCAAGTGCTGTATGCTTACAACAGACAAACACCATGTGTAGCATCGGTTTTAATAAGCAGAATAGTATGAATTATCCATAGTGTATTGACTGATCTGGCTGGATATTATACCAWTTCTCTGGTGCAGAGAGAATTGGTATAATCTGCATACTGAGAGTATTTTCAAGTTGTTTCAGATAAAATATAGGTCTTCTATTGATATATATTTCTATTGTTGCATAGATTTCTGAGTTCTCTATATTAATTTGCTGAATGTTAAAACAAGAGGGAAGGCTGAAGTGAAATCCTTCATTTTGTAGAATGGTCATATAATTGATTCTTTGGTTCATGTGTGCAGAGGGCTTCATGACTATTAAWTTCTGTTCTCATTACACCCAACTCCAGCTAAATGTAACTGCAGTGAARAAATTTCTCTTCACAATACGAGTGTTTTTCTTAGGGAGAGCCGGGCTGTATTCCCTCATCATTGAACCCTCTCTCATATGTTTTCTTCATCCCAATCTACTCCTGAATATTCTGGCCTTCGTAGCTACCCTCAAGATGATAATCATTGCATTTAAAGCAAAGCTAGAGCTGCTTTCTGAAACACTGAGTTGGGAGGGAGTTGAAGATTTCACAAAGAAGTGAATCCATGGGTTGTCACAAGTTTCCTTCTCTTCCTCACTCTCTGTGCATTATCGGGTGCCACGTTTTTCATTGCACCGGCCTTTAGTCTACAAGGCTAATCAACTAGTTAAAAAAGGTAACTTATTTTGGCTTTTGAGTATCAAGTATAGACTTTTTCTTTGACATGCTGACAAGAATTTAATTTCCATAAAAACATGTCTTTTAATTAGCTGGAACAAGTGCTGCAGCCTCCATTTCCAGAAGCTGCTTAGCAGTCAAGCACACTGAAACAGGTTCAGGATTTATAGCTTCTTTGGTAACTTCCAGTTTAATAGGATTAAATCACAAAATCAATTGAAAATTAACATAATGTTTTGATGTGATTTCTAATTATGCCTGAGTTTAGGCCTGTGAGTTCAGGCTCACAGAGCAAGCTGATGCACAGTAGAAAACTGATTCACAGTGGACACTTCAGAAAGAAGAAGCAATTACACAAGATCTAAAATATTAATTTACAACAGGTGTCTGTGGTAGCTTTAATATCTGAGCATTTGATTTCCTGTTATCAAGCATAGCAAATACAGGTAATTTGTGACTCTCCACTTTTTTCACCAGTGGACTGCAAGTAGACCATCAGGCACTTAAGTTTGCCCTAAGTGACTCACATCAAATAAGAAAAGATAAATCAATAATTCCTCTAAGAAAACAAGCTGCTTACTTTGTTGGATTCTAAACAGGCCTAACGACACATTTAAAAGCAGCTTAAAAAACTACATATATATATATATATGTAAAAAATATATATGTAAACATATATATGTAAAAAAACTACATACATAAATATACATATGTATGTATGTATGTACATATATATTATATATATTTATATGTATACATATATATGGTAAGGAAATTCACATTGTGCATCTCATCCTCCTGCTTTTAACACCTGCTTTATATTTAGAGCTTCTCTCTAGGAAAGGTGATCAACTTCATTCAGTTAAACCAAAGATCATAGCTCAAATGGGTCTCCAAGAACCAGGTATTAAGCCCAAATGTGATGCTGGAGGTGGCCTTGTGGTCTTCCATGAACATATACCAAGTCATTGAAGTCCTTCAGGATTTGACAAAATGAAATTATTTTTTCCTCCACTTTGAAGGAATTTTCGGAATAATCTCTATGAAAGAAAAATTGTAGTGGAGTGTTTCTATCTATAAAGGAAAATTCTGCAGAAAGAAAATCTGTGTTTAGCGTTATTGTTGGTTTTTCCTGTTTCTGTGGCATGAGGAAGGGAAGAGGAGGTCTGGAAACATAATGACTTCATATCATGTATGCTCTAAGAGAATAAAAAACTGTTCATTTTCTTCACTTATGCTAACCAGTTTGGTTTCAAATATCTAGACAATGTTATTATTATCTGAATATTTTAGAACTAGTGAATATTGCATCACTCTCATCACTTACAGGGTCTGAGAAAACTTTGCCATTGAGTCCATACTGATTTAAACATGTTTGTATTTCATAGTTTCCCAAGCAGTTAAAGGTGAGTGGTAGTTTTCATATACATGTGCTTTGCGGTTCATATTCAGTCAAGTTCAGTCTTAGAACTATTATTTTAAAATGTTAGCATATAGGATGTTTAAATCAAATCATTTAGCTGTTCAATCATTCTAATTAAAGCCATATGTAATTCTTCTCATTAAAGCAGTACTTTCATGTGTGTGCTTGTCCTGACAGACATCAGCCCACCCGCACAAGGTGTTGATCACAGGCAAGTCCAGAAAGAGCTGGGAGACGTCATTGTACGACTGCATAACCCTGTGGTGCTGACACCCACAACAGTTCAAGTCACCTGGACCGTAAGTCTTCTGTTGTAATTTCCGTAATATGATTTTAATTTGGACTATTTGTCCTTGCATTTTTTTCTACACTGGAAAGCACTGACGTTGACTTCAGTGAGAATACTCTAATAAACTAACACTGTGCATATGCTGTGAAATGGTCTTTCTCTTTTCTCTTTCAAGCTGGGCAAGTTCAAAGGCTTCAAGATTCAGCTCAAAGCAAGCTAGCTGACAGACGAGGAAAAATCGTATAAAAATGATGTGCTTAATACCACAATATAAAGGATAATTGCTCTGTGAATTCATTACCGTACATGTCCAAAAACTAATCACATTTAAATATCAACATGTTCAACATATTCAGTCAAAGCTGCTGAATGAAAAAAAGCTTTCCACTTCAAGATAGAGGGACCTCTGACAATAAGCCATTATTTGGCAGGCTAAGATGCAAAAAATGATATTCTGAAAAAGGGCACTTGTAGAAAAGGCAGAGCTCATGTTGCCATTGCCTGGTTAATCGTGGAGCATCTGGTTTTCTAGCATAAGCCTCATCCTCACTCAGGGAATAGCCTTTGATTATAGACGGCCAGACTCTTTTTTTGGCAGTRCTTAACAACATTTCTATTTGAGGGGTCAAACTACTGGGTAGAGTTTCTTAGGCCTTAGTATATAGTATTTGRCTTTCAAAATGCTATATTTCCCTCCCTGAGGCTTAGTGGAAAGGATTTGTAGCCACAGGAGAGAGTTCCTAGGGCGGCTCTACACACCACAAATGACTGCTTTGCTCTCGGGGCATTTGCTCCAGAGGAGGGAAAGCCCTTGATGAAAGAGTGCACTAAATAAATAATACTGCAGTGCACAAGCACTGAAATAATTGCATTATATAGGATGAATTCTGTTAAAGGGATATGCACGGTGTTTAGGTTCGTCTTATACATGCGGTATTGCTAAGAGGTAAAAGTGTGCAGGGATTATAGGGGATTATAGAAGAGGAGATAAGATCCTCCGTGTGTTGGGAGGAGGGGGAGTGGCAGCTGCCAGAAATACTTTTTTCAAATGTTTGCTCTGGCTTTATACTACAAAGGAAGCCTTAACATAAATGGAACTCAATTTTACCTATTGCAACCCACTTCACTAGGTTAGAACAAAACAGTGCTTGAAGAGTTGCTTGGTACTTTTGCTAAACTAGAAATGAGCGAGGAAAACATGGTAAGAAAAAGGAAAATTGTTTGTGAGTGTTACAGAGAAGAACTACCCTCAAAAGATCTCTCAAAGAATGACACTCTGCCACATGAAAATCACACTGGCCTCTGCAGAGACGCTTCAGAATTGGCCAAAGCAAGAAAGACACCAAAAAAAAAAAAAAAAAAAAAAAAAAAAAAAAGCTCTAGAATAGCTAAGGAACCAGAACAAAGGCAA